CGCGCACAAAAGGGCCTGGACGGAAATGTCCCAGAAGAAGTCTCCTATCGAGGAGAGGATGATGGCTTTAGAGGAAGTCGTAAAGAAAAGCCTCGCGGATCCCGCTCGGAAAGCTGCACCAGCAGTTGTTTCGGGCGCGCCGACACAAAGGAGTTACGCGTCGGTCGTAGCTCCGCAAATGGCGAAAACGGCGGTCAGAATAAGAATTGACGGCGCACAAAACTTGCAGCCACAAGAGCTGCTTACAAAAGCACAACAACACATTAAAGGCGCATACGCGATTCGCCAAATGCGAAGCAACGACACTGAGGTGTTCGTCCAGTCGGCGTCCCAGAGAGACGTGGCGCTTAACATGCGACAACCAACGGACTTCAAAATTCTACGGCAAGATTTTCCAGTCGAGGTAGACGGTGTCCCATTGCGGACACGAATTGAAGGGGGCAGAGATGCCAATAATTTTGCTATCATCAGGGAGATAGAGACGGCAACAAAGGCACGGATTCCAGGCTTAGTGATAAGTCGTATAAGGTGGTTACACGACGGAAAGGAACACCAGCGGTCAAAGAAAAATGGCCGCACTCGTGGATCAATAGTGGTAAGCCTCCCATCGGAGGCAATGCAGACGGAAGTGGTTCGAAACGGCCTTGTGATGAACGCCATGCTCTACACCGCGCAGGTGTGGTCACCACGGTCACAGCCAAAGCAGTGTTACAACTGCAGCCAGTGGGGACACACGCAGGCGTCGTGTGGAAAGGCAGCCAGGTGCGGTGAGTGCGCTGGCGCTCACCAAACTCGGGACTGTCCGAGGAAAAGGGTTTCTTGTGCGAACTGCGGCAAGGAGCACCGTTCGTGGCAGAAAGCAGCGTGTCGGACCTACCAGGTCTACAAGGGAAGTGTGGAGAAGGCTCGGATGGAGCTATTATCGAGGACGGCGGAAATATGGAACGAGAAACCTACGGTGGCGCCAATGCGAACAGTCGAAACGACTGATGATCAAGGATTCACTTTGGTCACCAGTAAAAAGGCTGAAGTACTCAAAAGAGGGCCGGGACGACCACGCAAGGTAGTCGAAGCCCCAGTGGCACCAACAATCCCCGCCACGACAGCACCACCATCGGGGCCAACTCTTCGAACACTTCGAAGACCAACGCCGAGTGAGGAGGTGCCTTCTCTTTTTAATTTTTCATAACGATAGTCTGATCGAAGGGGGAGTTAACGAATTTCGAGGAAAGTTTACATAATTGCGGTTGAAAGGAACGTCCTCAGCATAAAGCCGGGTCGGTTCAAAGTGGCAGGACATCGGGTTTTGTTTGTTGAAAGCTTTTTCCCTTACCAAAGCGGCTTACCGTCTTCATGGTTCTGTATATAGATACCGCATAGGACGTTAAACGAGACTAATTCAATTCATTCAATAATAATAATAATAATAATAATAATAATAATAATAATAATAATAATAATAATAATAATAATAATAATAATAATAATAATAATAATAATAATAATAATAATAATAATAATAATAATAATAATAATAATAATAATAATAATAATAATAATAATAATAATAATAATAATAATAATAATAATAATAATAATAATAATAATAATAATAATAATAATAATAATAATAATAATAATAATAATAATAATAATAATAATAATAATAATAATAATAATAATAATAATAATAATATGCTATTATCACTGAAGAAGAAGTCGACAGGGTTATCAGAACATTGCCGAGCAATAAAGCTTTCGGTCCAGATGGAATACCTAACAGAGTTCTAAAGCAATGTAGGAAAACCTTAAGTAAATTACTCACTATCCTTTTCAATGCTTGCCTCGCAATAGGCTATCATCCAAAAGGGTATAAAGAATCAACTACTATTGTTCTGAGGAAGCCTCAAAAGCCCAGATACGATACTCCAAAGGCTTATAGACCAATTGCGCTCCTCAAAACTATGGGTAAAATCCTCGAAAAGTTGGCAGCAGGTCGCCTCTCCAAAGCAGTAGAACACCACAACCTCCTTCCCGACAAGCAGATGGGAGCTCGACCACAGAGATCTACAATATCTGCAGTCGAGCTACTAACAGAACAGATACACACAATCTGGGGCAAAGATAAAAAGAGGGTGGCATCTCTCCTCAGCTTGGATATATCTGGGGCCTTTGATAATGTGTCACACGAACGACTCATTCATAATCTCAGGGAAAAAGGAATTCCAAAGTGGATGAGCCTATACATAAAGTCCTTCCTCGAAGAAAGAACTACATCAATAATGTTGGGATCATTCAAAGGGGACCGAATGTCTACCAGCACCGGGATACCGCAAGGCTCAGCTCTCTCGCCAATACTCTTTCTCTTTTTTGTTAGCAAACTTCTCCTGTTGCTCAGTCCTTCATAGTCATAGACTCAGTAGGGACTTAAATTTAATTCTATTCTATTCTATTCTATTCTCCTGTTGCTCGAGACAAGAACTACGACAGCAGTTGGATTCGTAGATGACACTAACATACTAACATGGTCAAACTCGACCGAAGAAAACGACACAACCTCAAAGCGACAATTGAAATCCAAGGCCATACCTCAGTCCCACAGCCTTCCCTTCGAGTTCTCGGAATCTACTTTGATCCCAAGCTGCGCTGGGGAGCTCACATCAAGAGCCTTCAACTGAGGGCTGAGATGCAGGCTCAGGGTCTCAGCAGGCTAGCTCAATCAACGTGGGAAGCCACATTTCACAAGTCAAAGATACTCTACAACACGATTGTGAGGCCGGCTCTAACATATGGGTCACCGGTTTGGGCTGAGGTCGGGCCGGGTGGAAAAATACCAGAGAGGATAGTAAGACCTCTCAGAAGCATATAGAGGAATTGTCTGAAAATTGTCCCCGGGGCATACAAGTCCACGAGCAGGAGAGTGCTGGAACACGAAACAGCCACCCTTCCGATCGAAATATTCTTGAAGCAACAGAGGCTTCAATATTTAGGTCGCACAAAGGACTTACCTGTCCAGAAGACAATCTAGTCCGCCTGTGGTAAAATCAAGCTGCCCAGAAAAGGGAGGGAAGATATACGAACAGTTAACAGGAGGATAGATCTTGCTTACTGGACGGGAATGTGCGGTGACCAACAATCCAAGAAGACACATACAGAGATAGTGAAAGTTATGGCATACCAAGAGTGGGCGAAATCCTGGGCCAAGCAGACACAAACTCAAAAGCCTCGGCGGTTAGCAACTGCAGATTCCGAAACTTGGAGAGCAGCCACATTTTACCAAAGTAGAGAGTCTGGACGGCAAAAACTGAGTTTTCAAGGCTCACCATTCTTTCTGCACCGTAACCTGACAAAGGCCCAAAGCAGTGTGGCAATGCAAATACGAATTGATCTTATGGGGCTTAACTCTTATTTACACAGAAGAAAAATACCCGGAGTATTAAGTCCAGGTTGTCCATGCGGCAACCAATCATAAAACCCAAATCATATGATTATGTCCTGCCCCCGATGGTCAAATGGTAGAGCTGAGATCTGGAGACAAGCCAAAGATCGATCCTACGAAGCGATGTTAAATAATCCTGGAGATATAAAAAGGATAACGCGGTGGATCCTAAACCATGGTTGGATAGAGCAATTCCAGATGACAAAAGCGGTCGAAATACTGCTGAGGGAAAGGAAAAGGTCAAACAATGCTTGGGGAGGATAGAGATGATCTGGTTAGTTTACATGGATGGCACTATAGTGTAACTGCGCTTCCTGAAGAAAATATGTGAGGACTATAGACAACAAATAGAAAGGTGTGGGAGGTTTTCACCATAAAGGTTTCCTCCCGGGTAAATATTATAGACTGTAGACACCTGCATGGGCCCATAGGGCGCCAAATCAGGATAATGAAATCAAATTCAAATTCAAATAATAATAATAATAATAATACCGGGCTATCCAATAACCTACCTATCCAACAGATAATTTCTACTGCACGCAGAAAAATCAAATATTTTGATGAAGAAAATTTAAGTAAACGCGATCAAAACAGAAGAGATGATATAGCGGAATGGATCTTAATCTGCAGCAACATCGACTCTAAAACAGGACAAAAGGTAGCCGGTAAAAACGCCGCGTTCAAGGAATGGTCAGAATCGTGGACGAGCCAGAAGAAGGAGCGACACTTGGGTCTTGGAGCGCAAGCCAATCCGGATAAGCGGAATGCTGCAAACTTATACAACGACACGAAAACAGGTAGACTTATGATGAACTTTAAAGAATCACCCATCCAAATCCACCAAAACCTTAGCAGGGCCCAGAGTAGCATTGCCACACAAGTAAGAAGCGAGCACATTGGGCTCAATGCTTACTTATACAGAAGGAACGTGCCAGGAGTAGGAAAACCATGCTGCCAATGTGGATATCCGTCCCAAAATATAAAGCACATGGTGATGTCTTGTCCAAGATGGGCAAAGGGAAGAGGTGAGTTGCTACGAAAATCGACAACTCGATCTTTCGAAGCTATGGTAAATAACGCCAAAGATATGACCAGAATTGCGCAGTGGATTCAAAAGGAAGGATGGCTAGAGCAGTTTCGGATGACCGGGGAAATCGAGGCGTTAATCAGGCGGAGAGAGGAAAATGGATACACAGGACAAGGACGGAATCCACACTGGCAACAACAGTGTGAGTGCACTTCCTAGAGATAAGACCATAATCGCACAGAGTCAAGTCAGACAGCTAAGGGGGTTTTTACTGCAAGGTTTCCTCCTATGTAACTATTAGAGTTCGTAGATACCTGCATGGGCCTTAAGGCTCCAAATCGGGCTGAATGAAATCAAATTCAAAAAAAATAATAATAATAATAATGATAATCTGAGCCTTCTATAATTCGTTCAAATAAATGTAAATTTAAAGTCCATAATCTCAATCTATACAACATCCAGAGCATAAATTTTCCTCTGCTTGACATACAATAGTTAATCAACAGTCTAACTGAAAGCCGTGTGGTGTTACTTCTATCTAACAGGCAAATGTCGAATTAAATTTCTGCGAGTAAAAGCTCGAATGGTGGACTGATACCGACGTGCTATGAAGGTTGGATTTATGATTCTTCCGGCTAAAAGTGAACGGTTTGTCAGCAAGCTCGAGCAAGAAAAGTAAATACCTTCATGCGGTCATAAATCTGTCATACCTTTTATGTCCTCGATAGTTTCGTCAAAAGCCATAATCATTTTCCTGTATATTGATCCACGATCTTCAGGTGTTGCGAAAAAGGTTCCATCTTTAAATAGAATTGTTCTAAGATTCTTGGCTAGCTCTTTTAGTCCTTTGAAACTTGGCGTGAACATATCGAGAAGCTTTTCGAGTTGAGTGATGAGAGCTAGTTTATGAGGGTAGCAGCTGCTAGTTTCATTCACACACCAAACGTCAAGATTTTGAGACTTTCCCTCGCCTACCGATTCGTATTCTACGGATCCTACAACTAGAACGTAGAAAAAGGATTCTAGATCATGGCGATAAGTCCGTCGGATCGTAGACTTTAAAAAATTCGCGTTCTCTAATCTCTCAAGCGCCATGAATTTCATGGTACCTGTTAAGAACAATTCTTCATCCTCGGCGACGTCTCCTTTCAACTTCACTGAACAATCAAAGTCAACCAGCATACCATGAGAGTTATCATCTGTAGTTAGATCTTTCAGGATAATATTTCCTTCTGAAATGTCTCCATGTAGGATACTGATATCAACAAGACCCTGGTGAGCCTTGATCGCATCTCTAATTCCGGCCACAATTTCAAGGATCGACCCGCGTGTGTCAATTTTTCTGCCACATGGTGTCATGGCAATCCTGAAAAGAACCCGTTTTCTTTCCAAAGACGGTAGGGTCATAAGATGGTAATTTGAGCCCTGGGTTATATTATAGTCGTCGGCCTTTAAATCCCAGGGGTCGGTGCCGGAAAGATCGAGGTTTTCCAGGTGACTGTTAGTCTGATATACTAACTGTGATGCTATGTACTTCACGACACCTGGTACTGAACGTGCATACTTCATGAATCTGACATCGGCGTTATCCGCAGACCTGCTCCACGGGTACTCTATCATTGTTAATTTGTCCCTTGTCTTATAGCAGGTCGTCCCTCGAGTAGCTAGGGTCGTTGACTGTATGAGAGGATCATATTTGATCTCAAATAATTGGTCTGAGTTACCATCACTTCCTGTGAAACTTGCTATGGATTGTCCATTTTTTCGCAGTACTGACATGTCACGGCCAAGTTCCTCATCGCTCATCAACAAATACGAGCATAATGCTCGAACGAAAATCTCCTTGCTATCTATAATACCCATTCTGCCCGAGCTGTAGGCGGCCGAGCGATCGAAAATCCAGAGTTCGAATTCTTCTTTAAACATCAGAAATCCGTGCATAAATCGCCGCAGGGGCTGATCGCAGTATGCTTCACGTGCACATCTTGATAGTTGGAGGAACTTTTTCTTTCTTATAGACGTACTCGGTGATACTGTGAACTCAGCCCCTATGTTCATGTTTTTCCAATCAACATTATCGTTCTGTATTTCAATGCTTTTAATCAGAAAATCAATCTGAGTAGTACCCGTAGACTCCTGAGCGCGTCGCATCTTATTTGTACGACAATACCGCCCCCGCAGAAGGGAGCACTTATCTTCGATGACTGTGGGGTATTTTGTGGACCTTGTTGTGCGACCATTGAGCTGATTTAGGAAATTCTCCTCAAAGAAGGTGAGCCAGTTCCATGTCTCACTTTCAGTCGTGCCTTCTTCATGGATTTTCTCTTCCTTGTCTCTTTGAAGACGTTTCTGTTCCTCGACACCTTTTGCGGTTTTTTTTGATTTTAGCTCCTTCAATCTTTTATTCTCCTCAGCAACCTCATACTTTTTATAGCTTTCCCATATACGAGAAGCCTGGTCGGTCCAAACCTTTTTTTCAAAGAAACCGTCCCAGAAGTTTGGGATAGCGCAGAATACGTTATCTTGCAAGTTACTCTGCAAATACATTTCCAACTTCTGGACCTCATGTCAATATTGGATCCCTCCATAAAATTTCTACGGATTGTTTTCAAGCTGCTCTTTGGTCCTACAGTTGATTTTAATAGAAACTTTATTCCAAGTTCAATGGCCAATGGCAAGATATCGTCCTTATTTTTATTATTAAGAATGTCATTAACAAGTTGTTCAAATTAAATGAGATCTTCTGTTTTCATAATGGCGGTCGAGATGGTATGAAACAAGTCATAAAGTTCATCCATATTTTTTTCCCGTACTGGGGCAGTGTAATTACTTAGACTGTGATATAGTTTATCAAGAACTAATCTGTTAACTAAAAGTACAAGAGCTTGGAATTGAAATTTACCGAGTTGAGAGCTAGCACCTTTGCTGTGCTTTTTTCTGCATTTCTGTAGAATGTAATCAATCAAATTGTTCTCTTGTTACGTGAAAATTTCTTGGAACTTAGACATCATGGGAAATAACGTTTGGAATGATGGGTGCAGAGATAAAGTGTAAAGCAAGTTGATGACTGGTAGATGGCCCAATCGAAACCGGGGGGAGGCAATCGTGTAATTATACGCAGTAATATCACATGACTTTCTAGCCAAACGTCACCTTCCTATTGTTGCCCTGACCCAAGTCTGGTACTACGTGGCCTGCAAAGGTGAATTCTTCACATGCCAGCGGTGCTGGTGTAACCGCTCAGTGAGCTTTGCATATCTGGGGTAGCCAAGAAGGATTGCATCCGAATCGAAGTCGAAAGCAACCTCAATCATATCTCCATTTGTCGACTTCTCGACAAAGCCTCTCTCACCATTCTCATCTAAGTCCTCATCCTCTTTCTAACCGCGCATCATCTCGTCTCGACGACCGATATAGGCGTAACCCCGATTGCAAACAGAAGTTTGCCTCATTCATCACCGGCCAACTCCATCTACAAATGTACGATGCTACGTATACCCGCAAGGAGGAAATTAAGTCATAATATACAAATTTGTGGTCTTGGTTTATGGGGGACTGGTGCTCTAATGGGGTTGTACATCTTGAGGACGGACAGGCGGCTGAGATGTGGAACGAAAGAGGGGAACAGGTCTCTGAAGACCGTGCTGGGACTGACATTTTCGAGGAGTTTTCAACTTTGGAATTTTTGTGGGAGTCAAGAACGAGGTTTCGGATAATTAGCTAGGAGGGCTTCTATTATCGATGAGTCAACGGCACAAAAGAAGTTAGGCTAAGCTACTATACAGCAATCACGCCCTGTCAAGACTTCTCTGATATTTCAGCACGACCTTCGGGAAGGAGTTGGAAGAAGGCTAGAAAGGCAGAGGGAGAATTTCCCGAGGTATCCACGAGTCTGCAGCGCCCAGCTGGCCGGCCTCTTCGAACATATCAGAAGGGTCACTGTGTCTTCGGATTTAGTCCTAATGCTGGTATCAGGAGAGCTCCGCACCCAGTGGTTTCTGCGATTTTTCCCGGCTGCCATACACCTGCAAATGGCCATCGTTTCGTTGGCTGGAGAGGGGAGATAATGAAAGGCAAAGGGCTCCTCTAAGTGTATGATCGAATGAGGACTTGTGAGGGGCGGTACTGTTTGAGAGGACATACCACTTGCATAGTCATCCTTGGCCTGTAGGCAGAGAGTGTTGAAATATGATATATCTTGGAATGCCAAGAATAACTTATTAGTAAGTCCGGCTAATTTGACTATCAAATTCCCCATTCTATATCACTGTTATCAATACATCCTTCACCGAAAGTTTAATGCGCATTAGCGTTTATTTCACACTAGAATTCCAGCGGATGACTATTTCTTAAATGCAGGTTATAGTTTTCTCGTATCTATTCCGATACACATGTATTTAGCTTAATATTCCTGGCCCATACATGTGTATGTACATAGATCTACATCTACATGGATCATAACATACGATCCATGGAGATTGATAAATACTGGTCAAAAACCACAATTGATAAGACATGCGAACACGCAAGCTCATTCTTATCATCTCGGTTTTACTCTGAACCATACATCTAAATACAATTGTTTCCACTCGGATCATCTTCTCACAACCTCATACAAGACCTACTGTATCGGTCTAACCGCCGACACTGATTCCGCTACAACCTCCATCTTCGCTCAAGCTCATAACTTTAACCGAGAGGACCTGCATGTCCTACATAGTCATAGACTCAGATAGGACAATAAAATTAATTAAAAAAAGTACGATAAACCTCGTCACACGTTAATGACCGAACCACCTTAGACTTCACCTGCCGCTTGAATCAGACCAAGTGTGATGGAACCAAGCTGGTTGTAGTGTACTTTTAGAAAGATTAAACTATGTGAAGAGAGAAGTACTACAACTACGGGTAATGACTATTTTTACATCCTTCTAGCTCATCCAGTACGTACTCTGTTGGTGAGAATGACATATTGCTCCGCCGCTGCCCGTCGTCATTTGTGCCATCTAGCTGACTCTCTCACTTGGCAATTCTACTTCGCCGTCTCACATTCCTTCCTAGCTCCAATGTAATGTGGCCAAGTGAAACTCAGTCGCTTGATACAAGATAATATGTAACACTCTCCCTAATACGCCCCCAATTCCGCTAAGGTCTCCACCTAAGCTAAACCACGGTCAAACCGTAACACCAAGCCCCACAGTCCACAAACCCATTGTGTATACGCCGCAGCTCAAATACCTCCTCAGTCTCGGACACCAAGCGCCCGAGCCTTGATTCGACGATGGTAATCTGCTTGTGTTGAGATTTTTTTCGACTTTCTCGCGATTGCGAAATCTCTGACTGATTCTCGAACAAACTGCCAAGTGCAGCTCCTCCAAAGCGACGATCCATCATACACAACTCATCCAACCCTTTTTCATGACTGAATCTCGCCTCTACACACTCTACGCTGAGAGCTGGATGCCACAGGGGATACCACTCAGAAGATATCGGTTTTCGCTCCCTTGAATTTTCATTTAAATACACCTGAAACTCATTCGCATGATAATGAAACATTCGCGACCCTTGCCTATTGCTACCACATAACGTAAGCGTATCCTAAACCCCATGAGTAGTTTTAATGGTTTCATTAGAAATACCAGATTTATCAAGCTGTATACACCGCTACTCTTCCAGACTCGAAGTGGTGGCGGGTATAGAAAAGTGGCATTCATTCATAGATGATGAAATACGCCAAAGTTCTCGCACTTGGGGTGAAAGTCTCCTGCTGACAAGGATGGGTATCAACGCAGCCCTTTGTTGAGAACAGACACTAATCATTTTTATCGTTTATGGTAATAGAAATATGTACAAACTGTCAAGGGATGAATGATCGTGGACACAAGCCGTAGGATGAGGAGATTTACTAGGCATCTGAGAAGTTCAAAGTCGAGTGGACCAAACACAACTTGCTTTTACAGGAGAAATACGGGTCCGAGCTAGAGTGCCGCTGACACTTTAAATACAAGCCAACGATGGAAGGTGGTGTTGTTCGGTATAATTTGAGTAGCCTAGTCACCTTAGCTACTTTGGAAGGAGACGCCTCAGACCACATTTTGCGCGGAGAAAATGCAGTGGATGATGGAGACATGTTTGGACAACTCTGGGCTTTTGAGACGTTCCCCTGGGTGGGTATTCACGGATAAGGGTTGACTTGGGGTGAAGAAAAAGCCGGTATGATTTCGCCAGGATACTTGCAAGCGAATGCTCTACTTTGAAATTGAGCCATACATATTCTGTACTATTTCTCTGCTGTTTTGTCATGGCTGTGTAGCTGCATACGTGATCAAAATCTGATGCAAAGATAAAATGGGTCCGAGCACTTTTGTTAACGACCCACGCCCTGACCTTAATGCGTGTTCCAACTGCCAAATACAAGTGACCACTACTTGGAATACCTCAACTCCGCTTCTAAGCTATTGCTTCACCCCCTCGCACTAACCCGACATACAGACGATGAATAAAGTAATTGCGTAACCTATGAAAAACGAGTTGTCTGGTGAACTACCCTGAAGAATTAAACAGCGCATCAAAGCTTCAAGTTCGTTGTAGGGCTTCCATTTACGACTCGTCGTAAACTCCGGAGGAGGCCTTCAGTCCATGACCGGAAGGTAGTCTTTATGCAGACGCTAAACAGATCAAACTAAATCACGTTCCTCAGAATTGCAAATCTTACTACACGGGCTCATTTTTACTTTTATCGCAATTATAAGTTAAGAGCCTTACTCGAGCTTCCAGCTTTGGGTCCTACTCCGCTCTTCATTGATCTTCCATTCAATTTTAATTGTCAGCCATCGCCAACACGTCTCAGAAAATGAATACTGTATCCAGCCCGTGATTTCGTCACCCGACTTTCGGGGAATAGGCTTCTCCTTTACTTGATCAATCATCATGAATCCCTTACTCCAATGCGTTACCTTCCCAAAAGGTCCAGTAGTAAAAGAGGTTCCCTTATTACCAGCCTTAACCCAATCCTGCGCTTTGGCGTCGTCAGGGAGGACATCATTTCTGCTTGGCATAAAAAAAGAATCAAACCATATAATAAACCCATCAAGTGAATCAACATCTGTCGTAAGTTTTGAGCTCCACGGACTCTTGAATGTCAAGTCTTGGGCAGTTATAGTGTGCAAGTCCATTTGTTTGAACGGAGATGGCTCGCCACAAAGTTTTTCCGGCCCAAAGTCCTCAAGCACAACGTTATCAAAAAACTTAGCTTGCATGGCTTTCATATCAAATCCGTAAACATCTTTCCAAAAGTGGTAGTGGTTGTCGAAATACTCAGGGGATGAGACAGGTGCTGTCCACAGCTTCATATGGCTGGGAACCATCAACCCGTCTGGCTTCAGATATAGATCCCTCGCACGGATTACACTCAAAAGCATTGCTTCGTACAACAAGCAATATCCCATCCATTCACTAACGATAATATCCACACTCTCTACTGGTAATTTGACCTCTTCAATCTCTCCCCTGAGCAAAGTGATCTTGTCGTCCATTCCGTTAAGGAAAATATTTTCACGAGCTTTGTCAATGATATCCGAGTTGTCCACAGCAATAACGCGAGCAGCGCCAGCTTTGACGCAAAACATACTCAGTATTCCAGTGCCACATCCAATGTCAAGAACTGTTTTGTTAGCAAAGCAGTTCTTATTATTGTAAATAAAGTCTCGGTATGCATCTGTCCGAACAGTATCTTTCAACATAGTTTCATGTATCCCTGCTTTTATTAGCCAAAATGTGAATTAGTACCGAAAACAAACCATTATCGTCGTAGAGACCGTAGTAATTACTTCCAGGGACTTCAGTGGCTTCTTTTGCCCCGGGATCTTTGTGAGAATCAACAGCCAGAGAGTTATCGTGCCACCGATCGTCTAGAGTCTTTGATACTGTTTCTCGGTAATTACTAAATTGGGCCTGGGTCATTCGTAATTCATTTTCTAGTTCATTAATTCGAGCCACTAAATCAGAATTACTGGACCCGGACAAAAGAGTGGATGTATTAGGATCGATTGAAATATCTGGAAGCTCGTCTAAACTGAATAAGACAGCATCATCTTGCAGAAATGGCCGAAGGTATTTCTCATCTTCAAAGTGCGATTTAAATAGCTCTGACGGGATCTTCTTTCCATCGTCAGTCACAGCACGAATATAATTCACTAGCTTGATACAATCGTAAAATTCCAGAGCCAACCTTCGACGAATATCCAAGAAATCGAGTCCAGATTGATTTTTGCAATGATCAAACATTGAGTAGATGTCAGAAAAAACTTGGTCATCCACTAGAGATTTAAAGGAAATTTTTTCTTCGTCATTTACAGCATCCTCCCAACCCTCCTCATCTTCCATGTTGAGGATGTCGGAATTCTCCGAACTAGCCGACGAACATGAATGAGCATCATCTGCTCGCAAGACTGAATTTGTCATGGACGAATTTTGAAGTGGATTTGGTGAGCGGAGTTTGTATTATCGTAGATTTCCGCTTGTCGCTCGAAAATTTCCGATGTGTTTTAAGATCTGAACCCTGTAACTTTTTAACGAGGTATGATGAACATCACCTTTCATCTTGGCCCGCGCTGCCCCGGAGAGCTGTAGGGCTAAACCAGGCTTAGCCCCGACCGTGCTAGGAACAAGCGCGTGTCACTGTGGGTTTAGCGCCAATCAGTGATCCACCTTGAGAGCGACGACTCAGCGATCATCAGCGCTGCCATCTGTAGACCTGAGATTTATTTGTACTCCCAGAGCCGAATTAAATCAGGTTTTGTACTTCCGAAGCAGTTGGCCCCCGAGTCAATGGCTCACAGCTCCAATCCACATCAATATTTCAGTACCTGCGTAGTCGATTTCGACCAAAGATTCATCAAGTAAATAAAAGCGACCTAGTGAGGTCTTTTTTATGGAATTTTCCTAATTTGATACCTCGAGGTCCCATCCAATTATTTTCAGTGGACATCTATTTTATTTAGATTAAGTCACTCGAAGCTTAAAACACTTACACTCAGATTTCGTTTGTAGATCCCACTCGAAGTTAGATTAGGTTCACATAATAGTCCCCTCTGAGTCAATGACTGGATATCACAGTGTTAAGACTTTAATCTTTTGCCAGAGAGAAGGAAGGAAAAAGATAATCGATTGACCATCATCTTCCGTTTAAGTATAGGCTCGCTCGTCTTTGTTCAGTTAGTTTCCATGGTCTAGACCACGTAATCTTAGTATCCCGTCTTATAAACAAACTGTATTATCTAATTGTAAACTAAAGATAAAACTAATTTGAACGCTAACACTACAAACAGTGGAATGTAGGCGCAATTAATTACAGTACTAATCTTAATGATAAAAAAATTTACTATTAACTTTAAAGCTATTTATATAGTTTTAGCTGTCCTTCATAGTGATAGACTCAGTAGGGACATTAATAAAATTCTATTCTATTCTATTCTAATGATAAAAAACAGGCCGGATGATATAGTCGGGTATCACGTGTCATTAACACAAGGGGGACTATTCTCAACACCTGTCAGCGGTGTCCCCTACGAACCTCCAGCTCTCACTGTAGAGTCTGTAGAGCCGAGATTGAGTAACAAAGTCCTCACTTCGACGAGGATTCCCAATCGCTTTCGCCGTCTGTATCGTCTTCATCACTCAACACATTCCCCTATCACAATTATCATGAAGCTAACCACGATCAGATCAGATGGTAGGGTCGGAGCTCTACTCATCACTAACCCTTGATCATGGAGGAAAAGCCATCCGATGAGTTTCCGGAGCGTACCCAGCACCCGATACGGAGATGGCGGATTGGATCAAGTCGGCCTCGACTGTTACAAAGAAGGGAGACATAGATGAATATGCGCACCTCATGTGGTCCCGGTGTCTAGGCCTCGCCTGGCTGGGGCTGCAGGTTTTTGTGAGACTTTTTCCCTCGCACGCAGTTTCCATGCTACCTTTTTTATTTATTTGGGTAGAAGGTTCCGTGGAAAAGGTGGCCGAATTCCACGGGTAAATACTGAGCTGAATGGCTTTTCATCAAGGGGAATATATCAATGATCTTTCGAGTAACAAAAGAGGCAAGGAGCACTGTACAAGGTGTGGCCTGGGTCAGAGAGAAGCCCAATGTGCTAGATAGTCATAGACTCAAGTAGCACAATAAACATCACTCACTCACTCCACAGCAGGAGGATCAGGAGGTAGCTGAGCCACCTGCTAAGATTAATCAAGCAATGAATGGCCTCAAGTGCCTGCTCAACTTCAAGGGGCTCACGATACTCATGCGCATGGAAGAAAGCCTCCAGCAACAGGCAGAGTTTCATAGAAGGTAAGGGACGTTAGACGGCTGGTTTAAAAAATACATGGGATGGAACGACCTCGTGTTTAATGTACGCGGAAAATTGACGATTTGATTGAGTGGACTATGTGATAAAATTTGTTTGTTCATATTATCACGTGAAATGATATTATTTAAATATAGTTTTACGTAACAAAGCGTGTCCAACAGGTCGGTTAGATCAGTGGTAGTATCGCTCGCTTTGCATGCGAGAGGTCGTGGGTTCAATCCCCACACCGTACAAAATGGAGTTAATCGTGCAAGAAAGTGAATGAGATACAATTGGTGCGTGAAGCATTTTTGGAGGGCGTAGTCGTCCAGCCCGTGACATTGGTCACTTGCTGTGGACAGGAACGACGTTAAATGTCATCAAAGTCAAAATTGAATGGCGGCTGTCCAGGGATTTGTAGTACATCATGGAGGCAAGCTAGGTAGAAGTAGCTCTTGTCCACTTCCCGGAGCAGAGGTGTTTAACGCGGAGATTGTAGACGCCACGACTGCCTTAGAGGTTTCACAAACAGTGGGGGGAGGCCTAACGATTTGTATTCCTCTTGACAATCAAGCGGCTACTCGGGCGCTCGTAAGAGAAAGATCTAGTTCCTCGCAGGCAGTTGAAATGTTTTCATTGCAGAAAAAAAAAAGCGTGTGGAAATACGCTAGATACCTGGTCATATTGGGATCAAAGGCCATGAAGCGGCCGATGAGCTGGCCAAATCGGCCTCGAAATCTCTCAACAACTGGTCACTAACCATTACTGTGCCCAGTGGAGAGTCTAAAAATCTAACATTTGCGGCATTAGCGAGACTTTTTAAAATGCGGGGTCAAAAACTCGTGGAACAGTGGTGGCAGAAGTTTCGGCCGGAACGATACAAAGACCTAGACCTCTACATGCGCTGTAAACAGTCACTGGAACTGGCTCTACCAAGATGGGCGTATCACCGTCTGATTGCGGCAAGAAGTGGCCACGGAGACTACGCCGACTACCATCGACGTTTTAACCCCGAACATGAAGATTTGAAATGCGTTTGCGTCCGAGAGAAAAGGCCCTGGCATTTTTCAGAGTGCCGACCTGCTTTGCAACGTTGGAGAAGCTGTGAGAAATTGGCGCCGCCTGGAGCCAAGGAGATGATTGGGGAGAAGGGATGGCAGAAGTTCATTCAATTCCTAACTACAAGCAGATGCTGCAGTCTGCCGAAGAATGAACAGGGTGGGAGGTGACCACGCTGAGATTGTTTCTGACCCGAGAGGAGATGGGTGTGGAAAATAAAGATGCGGCGCAGGGCACCGTAACTCAGACATTTACTGCTCCTTATTATTTTCTTCTTTTCCTTTGTCGCTGCTGGCTTCACTGCCGGTCATGAAGATAGCGATGAGCTCTCAGAGCCCATCTATCTGTGTGACGTCTAAATAGATGTTAGGTTCTTTCTGTCACGTAAAAGATTTCAAATTCAAATAGCGGCATTAGAACCGTATCGTTATAACGAGTCCGCACTGCATATACACTGATCATGTTTGACTTGACCTCTTGATCTCTACATTTAGACATGCGCTAACTTTTTTCATTCTGTGTGCAGCTCTAAAGCTATGAAACTTGGACGTGCACCGGGATCATATCATTGTCGTTGCATTTTATTGTACTGTCTGAGTCTGGCTATGTAGGACATGCAGGCCCTCTATACCTACAGGCTAAGGATACTTATGCCAGTATTGTATCCTCTCCTATGCCTCCCATACAGCTCCCCTCAAAAAGTACCACCCCTCACAAGTCCTCATTTAATCATACACTTACTGGTGCCATTTGCCCTTAAGTATCTCCCTATTAACGGTGTAGGCAAACGGTCACTGCACGCAAGCAATACCATAAAATTATTTATGTATTTCCATGGGAAAGAAAGTTAAAACTGGATACCTGTAAGGATAGTGAAACCCCTCAGAAGTATTCAAAGAAAATGCTTAAAGCTTGTTGCAGGTGCCTAAAATTCTACTAGCAGCAGAGTGCTAGAGCACGAATCGTCCGTCCTCCCTATAGAGATATACCTAAAATAAATGAGGGTCCAGCACGCAGAACTATCAGCTAAATTCCCAGCACATCAGACGATCCGATCGACATGTAAGAGGATAAAGCTGCCCACAAACTGAAGAGAAACTTCACATGTCTTCAACAAGAGTACTGATATCGCTGAATTGACAAGAACTTGTGGAAGTGAAAAGGACAAGAGAAGGCAGAAAGAAGCTGGAAAGATAGCGGTCTTTCAGCGGTAGAAGAATTCATGGACAAGCCGGAACAGGAAACACCGCCCTGGCCTACCAGCCTCAGCCGATCCAGAACATTGGAAAGCGGCAAATATATTTACTGGTGAACAAACAGGCAGCACCAAAATGAGCTTCAAAGATATACCCTTAGACATCCACCGTAACCTAACAAGGGCCCAAAGCAGTTTCGCCATTGAGCTAAGAAGCGAGTATATCAGACTCAATTCTTACCTGTGCAGAAGAAAAGTACTTCTTGGAAAATATACTTTGTACGATATTATATGGATAAATATGCTGAAGTAAAGAAGACTTGATATTTTACAACTATGGGAACATTGGACTTATATATACATCTAAGGGAGAAATTCCCGCTAGCCTCGTGTGCCTGTCAAACCTAGTGATGACTAGCCACCTCTCATCTACCATAATGAGCCAAGGTACACTGTAGTACGTAAATATGTGGATCCCGGATAGATCTACAGGGCACGAATTAGCTAGATGTAGGAAACACGGCCACACACGTAATCGTAATTATCCTATGATCTCACACACTGCAAATCGCACTGTCAGAGCCCGCGACCACAGCAGTAGATCTACTAGCGTTGAGGAGTAAGTAGTAATCAATGTATATAGACACATAGACATCCGACACTTGAAGGATATAGAATTTACTTATTAGTCTCAAGCTCTACACAAGATCCGTTGTAGTTAGGAGCCCGAGACACCACGTGATATAACCCAAATCTTACACCCACACCCATTGTATACTAAGTATACAACGCGCGCTCGGAACCTCAAATATCCAAACGTATAGGCGACAGTAGGCGCGATTAGCGCACTCGGGACATGTGTAGAGAGAGTCGATCTTGTCGGGAACCTGAGACGAAACAGGTGATGGTTGAGTCCTAAATTCGAGAGTCAGAATTTCCAACAATACCTGGAGTAGAAAAGCCAAGCTGTCAATGTGGATATCCGTCGCAAAACGTCAAGCATATGGTGCTGGCGTGTCCGCAGTGGGCAAATGGAAGAGGCGACTTTCTCCGACAAGCTAAAGACAGGTCATTTGAAGCCATAACGAACAGCCCAGAAGATGTAGCTAGAATTACACAGTGGATACTAAACAGAGGGTGGATAAAACAGTTTCGACTTGCACGAGAAGTCGAAGTAGCAATGTCGGATAAAGTTAATAGATCTGGAAGGTGAGAGGACGGAATCCACACGGGCTGAACAGTGTACACTGCACTTCCTGACGGTAAACCACATAAATTGATAGGAACATAAAGAGACAGGATCAGGGGGTTTTCACCAAATTGGTTTCCTCCTTTGTAAATAATACAGATAGTCACCTGCATGGACCCATAGGGTGCCTGATCCGTTTAAATGAAATCAAATTCAAAAGTTAAAACTGGGTTATACTATCACAAAATGTACCCTGATAATAACCCTACATGAGCACTACCAATGGATATTGCTCAGTGAGAAAGGCTGAGCCTTTTATAGCGACGACGAACTTACGAGGAGTCTAAGAATTGTAGCAATGGATGTAACAGTCAACGTGGGTGAACATAGGATAGCGCTTCATGTCTAACGCGAAGAAGACAGATATGGATTGTAGATCTGCTATAATTGATGTCTGTTGAAATAAGAGTGAAAAAGTTTGATCTTATACAGGGGTCTGACACCGAGTATTTATAAACTTAGATAGTACACAAATTATACCATCAATAGTAATAACTCTCAACCATACAGCAATTCAACAATGATAATGTCAGATATATTTGCGTCTTATTATCATATATAGCTGAGATACTGGTGTTATCATTGCTGTGTTCCGATGACGTACCGTTGACACAGGGTCGCTTGTTCTGCCGGTAGCACTTACTTAATACTAGCCATTTAAAGTTGTGTGATCTATAATTGGGCCTGATCTCAACAACTTTTGCCACCCACTGATCGGATGTAAGGCTGGGCACGCGGGTCAGACCAGACAACCAATAGTGGGTATTCCATTAACATTTACTTCTCCGACCAACGATACGATGGCCATTTGCAGGTGTATGGCAGTCGGGAAAAATCGCAAAAACCACTGGGTGCGGGGCTCTCCTGACACCAGCATTAGGACTAAATCCGAAGACACAGTGATCCTTCTGATATGTTCGAAGAGGCCGGCCAGCTGGGCGCTGCAGACTCGTGGGTACCTCGGGAAATTCTCCCTCTGCCTTTCTAGCCTTCTTCCAACTCCTTCCCGAAGGTCGTGCTGAAATATCAGAGAAGTCTTGACAGGGCGTGATTGCTGTATAGTAGCTTAGCCTAACTTCTTTTGTGCCGTTGACTCATTGATAAAAGAAGCCCTCCTGGCTAATTATCCGAAACCTCAGTCTTGGCGCCCACAAAAAATCAAAAGTTGAAAACTCCTCGAAAATTTCAGTCCCAGCACGGTCTTCAGAGACCTGTTCCCCTCTTTCGTTCCACATCTCAGCCGCCTGTCCGTCCTCAAGATGTACAGCCCCATTAGAGCACCAGTCCCCCATAAACCAAGACCACAAATTTGTATATTATGACTTAATTTCCTCCTTGCGGGTATACGTAGCATCGTAAATTTGTAGTGAGTGATGGCCGGTAATGAATGAGGCAAGCTCCTGTATGCAATTGGAGCAACTTCTTTATTAGCCGTTGAGACGAGATGATGCGCGGTTAGAGAGAGGTCGAGGACTCAGATGAGTATGGTGAGAGGCATTGTCGAGAAGTCGTCAAATGGAGATATGCTTGTGTTTGCTTTCGACTTCGATTCGGATGCAATTCTTCTTGGCTATCCCAGATATGCAGAGCATATTGAGCCATTACACCGGCACCACTGGAAAATGAAGAATTCGTCTTTGACGGCTGGTCCATCTGATTATCCTTGCTGTTTCTTTTGGATTGTTCATCATGGGCTCGAATGACCGGTTCTCTGCCTTTCTCAGTGTTTCCTCCATTCCTTTGGCCCAGCTGGTGTAGACCATGACCATGTGCTTCACATTTTAGGGTGGATATCCACATTGGCATCGTAGTTTATCTACTCCTGTAACTTTTCTTCTTTTTGTTTGCATCGGATTTTAATTGCGTATGCAGGTATCTAGCTTTGACACAATATCGAAGAAAAGTACATGATAGATAATTCAACATAGAGTCAGAGTACTCATGCCTCGGATTTCATTTGTAAGTACCACTGCGAAATTTTGGTGGCTGCTTTTCTTCTTTGTGGTTAGGACTTGAACCCGATGTATTCCCTTCTAATCTGAATGGCTGCGCTGCTCTGGGCCCTGCTTAGGAGTGACTAAGCAGCATTTCTTGAAAAACATGTGTAGATAGCTCTACTCATTTATCATAGCTAGATAGCCTAGTACACAATAAATGATTTATAATGATGTAATAGAACTAATCTGTTCCGTCCCCACTCATTCTACACCTCCTACTGGAGCTTTAGTATGTCATTTACCTCGTACGACTTACAACGAACAAACTAGTTAAGCTCAAATATATGCAGGTATGGCAGAGCTCAAAATTTGGAAACCCCCTCTCGCTTTATAGCTGTTCTGGGTTCTTAAGGTGGGATGATAGGATGATGAATATAAAAAATCAAATAATGCAACTTTTTTACATTGATAAATTGATATTGAGAAAACACGTAGGGTAATCGAGTTAGCAGGAGTAATAACCAATTAGTGGTATTTGCAGGGATAAGTGTTGCTTAGAAGTCTAGAGATTAGAGCTCGTGGAGGGCTGCCCCAATTGAAGAAGAGAGAAATCAAGGGAAAACTTATTGTGCCCAATGACAAATGCAGTAGCTACTCCAGCGAAACTTTGAGTTGCATAAACTTTTTTTTAATTGAGGACTCTCAGACATGGGAGAGAAAAAGAATAGTTTAAAATCGGTCCATTGGCTTGTAGACTGTGCTAGTAAATGCAAAAATCGCGTCGCGACTTGACGCCCGCCATCAACTTCGATAGATTTACAATCCCGTAACTTTGCGATTAGGGTTTGGGTAAAAGAATTTCGCAGAAGACTGGATTTTGGGTACATCCGAGTGTTTGTGAGTCTTAATCTTTGTAATGTGAATCAATGACCAGTCCGCCTGATATGCATGTTTCCATTAAGGAGCTTGTTATCTTTATTGTTTGGGTCTGTGCCGTTGCCGAGTCGTCAACTAACGAGACATGGGGCAACCGAATAACACGATCCAGCTGCGAACATGCGTCCTCTTGGATTGATACTCTACACAACGAACGTGAATATTAATATTATCATTACACGTGTATCAGGCCATGGTATCGAGATGCGGACTTAACATCCCAAACGATTGACTCCTCGCCCACTACAGGAAACATCGAACAATCGATAAATTTAAACTTGTAAATACCGGGCTTCTGGTTCAGATCTGCTCTACTTGACATGTCTTTTCTCTTTGGTCGTCGTCCGCGGACAAACACCGACCTCCCGAAGCAGGCTAAAGAGCTCCTCATAAGGCTCGAAGGGTCTACGGGAGCGGTCAAGGTATGTTAATTCACTCACAATGTCGATACCCGGCTAAATTCATTTAGGCAGAGGAGCTCATGAAGACAATGTCCCAAATAAAATTCATATTACAGGGGACTCAAGGTATGTAAGGACTTCTTAGCTTGTAATATCTCATCGCTAAAATGACTTTTAGAGACGGAAAGCACCCCAGAACAGATATACTCCCTTGTCACTGGTATGATACAAGAGGATTTGCTATACCAACTCGCTTTGAATCTTCACCGACTCACCTTTGAATCAAGAAAAGATGCTCAAGTTATCTTTTCGTATGTTCTTCGCTTTCGTCCCCCAACTGCCTCACCCAAGAGCGAACCCTTGGCATTAAGCTATGTCATCAATAATCGGCCCGAAGTTCTCGTGGAATTGTGTAATGGCTACGACCGACGGGAAAGCGCCACGCCTGCAGGAACTGTCCTCAGAGAAGTATTAAAGAGTGAGGCAGCTGCCGCTATCATCTTATATGATGATCCAAGTGAGGATGGGTATAGTCCATCAAAAGGCCTAACAGGCGTCAATCCTGAAGTGAGACAAAGTGGACGAGGAGTATTCTGGAAGTTTTTCAAGTGGATAGATCAGGGGACATTTGAAGTTGGAGCAGACGCTTTCACTACATTCAGAGTATGTTGCCAGTAACGAAAGTGAAGTGCCCACTTATAAAATATAGGAAATTCTAACCAAACACAAAACTATGGTTGCACAGTATTTAGCAACAAATTTCGACCTCTTCTTCGATAAATACAATAATATTCTCATCAAATCTAGCAGTTATGTCACCAAAAGGCAGTCTATAAAGCTACTCGGTGAGATTCTCCTTGATCGGGCAAACTATGCTGTTATGACAGCATACGTAGATAGAGGAGAAAACCTTAAGATTTGTATGAATTTATTACGAGATGAACGAAAGATGGTGCAATACGAAGGTTTCCACGTTTTTAAGGTTTTCGTGGCAAATCCTCACAAATCGATTGCTGTTCAGAAGATCCTGCTCATTAATAGAGAACGACTATTGACATTCTTAAAGGGATTCTTAGAGGATCGCACTGAGGATGAACAATTCATTGACGAGAGGGAGTTTTTGATTAAGCAGATTAAAAACATGCCAGCAACACCCGTCGAACCGACGCAGAAGCCTGTCTTATTAGGGAGTACTTTGCGATAACTTATATATAGGACTTAAATTATATAATGAGCTGATGCTGCATGCAACGATCAGCTGTGGTCGCAATGATGCTTCCAGATCTATGAAACGACTAAGTACTGATGAGCATGTAAAAAAAGGATAAAATGAGGGATGTTCTAGAACAGATGAATTTGATTTTCAGATCGGGACATCCTTGAGAAATGAGTCACCTGTACTCGACTACCCTAAGAAATTTTATGACCTGAAACAAAACTACAAAATTTTGTAAGTCTGAAGAGACATGATGTATGATATAATGGCAATCGAGCTTTTGAACAATAATAAACATTCATCTAGTTCTGAGTATTGCATAAAACTACGTCAAGCGCAACTTGAGTAATTGCATCTCTTATACAGATAGATTTACTGAGGAATCCATATATATATGATGGGACCTAGGTTGTAAGACGATAAGGCTCTGGTTACAAAAATTATACATTCATCCTCTCCAAGCCTCAGAGGGAATAACAAGAAACGACAATCGATTATAGGGGTAATATCTACTATCTCACCTGCTAAAAAATACCCTCAGATAACTTGAAGTATTTTAGATGCGTCTTCAGAAATATAGAGTGACCGCAACAATCGTGCTTGATCAAAACTTTTTAGCAGATAATCCAACCGTAACCGCTATGAGTGCCGTTTAATTTATAAGTTTATTTTGATTGGATTTGATTTCACTATCCTGATATGGCCCCCATGGGGCCCATGCAGGCGTCTATGAACTCTAATATTTACGTGGGAAGAAACTTTCTAGTGAAAGGACCTCAAAACACTGTGGTAATTCTCGTGAGTTTTTCTATTTGCCCTTCAGGAAGGGTATTACTGTAGTGCTATCCATGAAAGCTAACCATATCCTTTCTATCGACTCCAAGGACTGCTTGTCCTGTCTCTTCCACTCAGCAGTATTTCGACCGATCTTCTCATCCAGAATTGCTCTATACAACCATGACCCAAGATTAAATGTATATTTATTTTGGTGCGAGACAAATTGTCAGTCAGTTCTTTGAAGGACCAATCTATGGTTATCAAATATCTCCTCTACCATTTGTACATCAAGGGTAGGACACGTCATCTACTTGGTGTTCTACGAGTGGGAGCTTCATGGACAGCTTCGAAACTGCATTGCTTAGCTACTTTTGGCCCTTGTCAGATTTTGTTCAAGAGAACATGGCGACTCCTGGAGACTAATTTTATACTAGCCCGATTATCGGCTTCGATAGAACTTGAGTGTTTTCAGTTTCCGGAATCTGCGATTGCAAGTTGTCGAGACTGTTGCATCTGACTTTAGTTTGTCTGGTATTTCGCCGTTCTTGGCATGCTGCGATCTTTCCAGCCTCTCTCTACTGTCTTTCCAGCTAATTCATACCCAGTGTGCCAGAACTAAATTTCCATAATTTTCTCTCCTTTTTGGTTAGCTTTATATGTGTGATGTGTGATTGTATGATCTCTTGGTCTGGTAGGTTTTTTAAGCAAATCGTTCAAGCCTTAGCTGTCAGAAAGGTTTCTGCTAGTAAAGTAGCAGTTTCGTGTTCGTTGAATGGAATTTTATTCGTGACGGGCACAAGCCTAGCGCTCATAGATCATGACACGGAGGAGGCTAGTCCTTCCCGAAAATTATCTACGACGATAAAGTTAAAATTATAACCCACTACTTAGTTTGTGGACTTGTTAGTAGAGTGGGGCTTATGCAATCATGAAGGATAAAAAGAAGTCAATTTGAATACTCCTCTAAACACATGGTCTAGACTACCTTTAATTCCAAAAGATAGCCCGTGCAGGATCTCCAATTAACAACAATAGACAACGCTAGCACAGAGTGTAAGCAACCTCCGTTCACAAGACATCAGCCGGTCGGGAATACTAATTATCGAGCCTAGTAAGACCGACAAGATGTATCCCAACGCAGAAATATTTGAAATATGAGGAGAGCAAGACTGAACACCTGTACGCGGTGTCCTCTACGAACCTGGGAGTGAAATATTCTCCCAGAGCCAAGTTCTGTCAAATTTCGCAATATCAAAGAAGTTGGCCCACGAGGCAAAAATTCAAATTACTCCACATGTCGTTTTTTCGCTCCCAACGAGTTTGACACCTACCTAAGTCACATCAAGTCTGCAAGTACGGCTTAGTGCATCCTCATCCCAATGATCACATCACTCCTCGACCTTCTCTGACCTCAGTTGACCACCAAATACACGCCCACGCTGATATTTATACCCGGCGGAGGAAGCAAAGCGTGGCGCACAAATCTGGGAGACTGTTCTTTGGGATGGATGTGAGAGGGATCGGGACAAGTTCACAAGATGATGCAGAGGATGGATACAGTTTCGACGAGAATATGATTTTAAATTTTGGCAAGGAGTTTCATGAATTAAGCTTTGTGTGCGCTAAGACTTCGCTCGCTAGAGTGCAGCTGACACTATAAAAACAAGCAAACGATGGAAGGTGTCGTGGTCCGCCTCCTGGTGGTGTTATCTGGTGTAGTTTGAGAAGCCTGTACACTTACTTCACTTGGGAAGGAGACATACCTAATCATATTTCGCGCGGAGAAAATTTGATGGGTGACGGAGGCAGTCTGGATTACTCAGGGTTTTTGAGACTTTCCCCTGGGTGGTTATTCACGGATGAGGGTTGACTTGGGGTGAAGAAAAAGCCGCCATAACTTCGCAGTGGTACTTGCAAATAAAATCCGAGGCATGAGTGCTCCTCTTGTAAATTGAGTCATCTTTTCTGTACTTTTCTTTAATATTGTGTCATAGCTAGAAAGCTGCATACGCAATTAGAATTTGATGCAAAAAAAAAAAAGAATTGGGATGGAGCAGACTAATTCAAAACATGTAGTACACTTTCATTTTTCTTGTGAGCCATGCTGAGGGCTTCGATGTAGACTTTTGTAATACATAAAAATTATTTTTCAAATAGATGTGTATTTTTAGATAATATCAATTGATTTCTTATAATTTTTAATTTCAAATGAGGACCATTGTACTTTTTCAATGGTATTGAAAACCGTCCCCATTAATTTTGACTTTCACGGAATATCGTTGGATAGTACCCCTGCTTGCATAACTAGTTGATAAACTAGACACGGGTCTGCATGAAGAACAAACCAATCTAATCGATATTTACAGGGGTTTAACCCCAGTCATTACGGCAATTGTACCTTTGTCATCCTTAAGAGACTGTAACCTATTGCGAGCTAGCCCAGCTGCGCCTGTAGGACTAAGCCCTTAAACAACCCAGCCTCAAGTTTAACCTTTTCTACCCTAGTGGGACTGTTCTTCCTCCTATGCCTCCTTCACCACTTATTTCCAGCAGTAATACCCTCACAGCTCTTCATTCGAGTACATACTAAGAGGAGCCGTTATCCCGTCATTATCTCACCACTAGAGCCGACGAAACGATGGCCATTTGCGGGTGTGTAGCTGCAGGGAAAAGTCTCAAAAACCGCTGGGTGCGGGGCTGTGAAGGCTAGTGAGCCGATAAGGTCCCTGTAGCCTGTGCTATTCAGCACAGACATATTCATAGTGTCAGCGCTAAGTTGCGCTCGTATTGAAAGTCGGGAACTGCCCGTGTTTGAGACACTGTTGGAAACTAGCGCACACCTTAGTAATGGGGGCACGACTGGAGGGTAGCTACTAGTGTTTGGAATATTGGAATCATGTATATTAATTCATTTTATTGTCCTGTCTGAGTCTATGACTATGTAGGACATGCAGTTCCTCTCTGCCTATAGTTCAAGGATTCCTATGCCAGTGGTATATCCCCTCCTATGCTTCCTACATAGCTCCCCTCAATCAGTACCACCCCTCACAAGTCCTCATTCGATCATACACTTATAGGAGCCCTTTATCCTTCATTATCTCCCCTCTCCAGCCAACGAAACGATGGCCATTTGCAGGTGTATGGCAGTCGGGAAAAATCGCAAAAACCACTGGGTGCGGGGCTCTCCTGACACCAGCATTAGGACTAAATCCGAAGACACAGTGATCCTTCTGATATGTTCGAAGAGGCCGGCCAGCTGGGCGCTGCAGACTCGTGGATACCTCGGGAAATTCTCCCTCTGCCTTTCTAGCCTTCTTCCAACTCCTTCCCGAAGGTCGTGCTGAAATATCAGAGAAGTCTTGACAGGGCGTGATTGCTGTATAGTAGCTTAGCCTGACTTCTTTTGTGCCGTTGACTCATTGATAAAAGAAGCCCTCCTGGCTAATTATCCGAAACCTCAGTCTTGGCGCCCACAATGAATCCAAAGTTGAAAACTCCTCAAAAATATCAGTCCCAGCATGGTCTTCAGAGACCTCTTTCCCCTCTAGCTCCACATCTCAGCTGCTTGTTCTTCCTCAAGAAGTATAACCCCATTAGAGCACCAGTCCTCCATAAACCAAGACCACAAATTTGTATATTATGACTTAATTTCCTTCTTGCAGGTATACGTAGCGTCGTAGATTTGTAGTGAGTGATGGCCGGTGATGAATGAGGCAAGCTCCTGTTTGCAATTGGGGTGACGCTTTTATCGGTCGGCGAGGCGAGATGATATGTGTTTAGATCGGGGTTGAGAACTCGGAAGATAATGGTGAGTGCTGCATGGTTGAGAAGTCGTCAAATGGAGATATACATGTGTTTGCTTTCGACTTCGATTCGGATGCGATGCTTCTTGGCTATCCCAGATATGCAGAGCATACTGAGCGATTACACCGGCACCACTGGAAGGTGAAGAATTCGTCTTTGCCGGCTGGAATCATGTATACATAGGGCGTTGGATGTAGCATTACTCTTGTTCTTCAGTTAATAAATAAACTTACCTTTCGACATATAAACGTCCAAGCTTTATATACCGGAACCGTTACAGGGGCTCTCCTGTGACGAAGAGGCCGGACAGCCGGGCGCAGCAGACCTATGTATACCTAAGAGTGTCTCTCAACCTTCCTAGCCTCCTCCTTCCTCTTTCCCTAATTCATGCCACAGAACAAACCGAAGGTCATGAAAGGATGTCAGAAAAGTCTTATTCGAGAGTGACCGTCGTGAAAGAGCCTAGCCTAGCATCCAAAAGTCGTTACGGACGTGGGGTCGTCGAGTAGCTCATGTATTTCAGATTCCCTCCTAGCTAGTAGACTCGGAAGTTAGGATTAGTAGGGACGATAAAGTAGACGAGTCGAAATCTGCTTTTCTTGAGGGCGGAAGGGTCTTTTACTTTGCTTTCGTGGGCTTTTTGTTTGCCCGCCGGTGAGTAGCGCATGTTGTGATATAACGGGGGCTTCTCTGACTACCGTTGTAGCATTTGGTACCGCATTATCATTCCTCATTCCCAGCATCATTTTCATCTTCTTGGTCGTCTTGTGTGTTATCGGAAGCGTATCTTTGACGGAGGGGGAGATAACTCAGCTCAAAGTTGATAAGGCGTTATTCAATCTCGGCTCTGTATACTCTACAGTCAGAGCTGGAGGTTCGTAGGGGACACCACTTACAGGTGTTGAGAATAGCCCCCCTGGAGACTTATAAATGCTGGTCAAAAACCACAGTCAATAAAAACGCGCACGCGCAATCTCACTTACATTCTTCAAGTATACTCAAAACCATGCATCTCAGTTCAATTTTTTTCACGCAAATCTTCTTCTACAATCTCATGTAAGACTTACCGTATCGGTATAACCGCCGACACTGATTCCGCTTTTACCTCCATCTTCGCTCAAATTCGTAACTTCAAGTGAGATCATAGCAAATATAACAGCCAATACCTTTATCAATAACTACCACTAACCATCATTTGATTTGTATCTGAACACCATATTTTCAACTATTTTAATTTATTCAGTCATTCTGGTAGTTCACGGACGCGATTGAATTGGCAACTATTAACTTTTTGGATTTGTTCTACTCCATTCATCTCGTCTTTACATAACTGATATATATTCCACCACTTTCTAACGATACTCCCTGACATCAAACTACACCGTAAAAGATTTTAAATGATAATTATTCGAAAGAGTGTTTTTCTTAGACATGAGCATTAAGATATCGAGCTTTAGATAAAGGTTGCTGCAAAAATGATTTTGATACTCATCTCCTTGTCAAGAGACTTTTTTATTACAGCTCGAACTTTGTCTGGAAGATTAGCAGGTTAGATCGTATAATGGTTTGCCTTGAGCATTAAGAACACCATAAGCGGGTGATTCTTGTTGGTGTTGCAAAGATCTCCAAAATACATTGTTGATTTCAAAGAGTGGGCAGGCAATGTTTTTCCAAATAGCCTGAGAAATTTCAATTGTAGGTACAACTTCGTAAATTGGGTAACTAATGGCAGGCCATCCACCCTCAGTAATCCAGATCGATGAGTTAGAGCCAGTAGCTGCAACTGATTCCCTGACTTGATCTAGGCTGTCGTTATATGCCTTAATACTGTCTTGTATCGAGATTATGTCATTGTTCTGGAGGGAAAGGTTTAACTTCGTCCCGATGAAGTCACAGGCTTTGATGACAGGCGAGTTCTTCCCATCAATCCAGGCAGTCCAAGTATCAATATGTCCGACCAGCACGTTTTTTTTGTCTTCCACCACAGTAGATAGCATACCACGAACGTCGTATATCTTTTCGGCCAAAGCATGAGACATGAGCTCGTTTCTGCTTAAATCGTCGTACCCAACTGATACGGCAGCAAGCCATTCAGAGCCGTGATTTGTGACAGCTTCCAATAGCTGTTGCTTTTCTGCTGCGAAAGATTGAGGATATTGTACCGTTACACCAGCCAACACTTTACCGCCAGTAGCAATGGCGGCTGGGGCAATCACGCTTATAGCGTCGCATTCTAGTAAGGAGAACAAGCGTAAGCTATCGAAATTTCCTGGAAGCGAAAGTGTCGTATTGAAGTCTGCTTCCCAATCTGATTGTGTCTTGCAAGATCCATCAGTGTTGCGTACTTGGGCGTTAAATCCTTGTATCAAGGCATTGGAGCTGCCAATGGAGATGGCAATACCGACGTAAGTGGATAGTAGCATGTTTTTGATTAAAAATTTGATTAAAGACGTATATAAGATAAGCTGAGATGGGACGAGATGGTTTCAGCTGATTGAATGGTCGAATAATTGAAAACTGATAATTCCCCTGGCTCGAGGCCAGATTATATACTCATTCTTAAGCAGTAAAGAGGGGTTGAGATTACTTCAAAGCAAAGCTTGACTCTCTTCCCTCATTCACGCTAGAGCACAAATTTGATTGTCCATACCCTGGAGGTTGCGAGTCCTTCAAGCATGCCATGAAAAAGGGTCAAAGTTGTGGAGTACTGATTGATGGATTCGTAACCTATCATCAGCCGCAGCCTAGTGATCTCGATATCTCTCCCGAAAATGACGGAATTATGGAGTTTAGTTGCGCCGTAATCCCCCGTTATATCTTAGAAATAAGCTTAAATAATTCTATATCGAGCTAATCCCTCAGCTTGTATGATCTGGTGACCTGTGATCAGATCTTTGCGGACAAGTAGGGAGGAGAAAACCTTAGCATCTGTCACCGTTATCTCCTACGAAAATCCAACTCTTACTGTAGAGTCTATAGAGCATAAATTGAATAACAGTTTCGTCTTAAGTTTGACGGGGATTCCCAATGTTTCTGGAGACTATTTCATCTTCATCTCTAAATACAAACCCCTGGCATTGCTTTTATGAAGCTAACCACGATCAGATCAGATGGTAAGGTCGAAGTTCTACTCACTATCCAGTTTTCATGTCATGAAGAAATTATCCAATAATTTTTCGGAGCGTAGCCAGTACCCAAATATGGCATTAGTGGATAATTTGAGGTTGGCTTTTTTTGATATATAGAAGTCACTCATAGATGAATATGCACACCTGTGAATGGTTAAAGCAGATGGTCAGCGCACGCAAGCAATACCATGAAATAACAAACATTCCTCTTTGGGAGAGATAACTACAACTTGATCGTGCGGACACAAAGTGTGCCCTGACGACCAGTGGCGTGTAAACCCGTGACAGCACCTTTCGTGGCTTTGCCTCGCCTGTCTACGGCTACGATTTAGTTTAGGATTTCCCCGCACACATAAGTTTCATTACCACCTCTTAATCTTCCTGGCCGGAAGGTTGTGAAGCAAAAGACACTAAAATTTACTTGTTAGTATCGAGCGAAATGGCTTCGAGTCCTAGGCATCACGTCTTAGGTCTTTCTCATAAGAATAAGGGATATGAAGCCCTCCCAACGTATGGTCTGGGTCAGAGAGGAGCCTAACGCGCTAACAAGCCGTTGACTCAAGTAGCTCAATAAAGACCAGATCCACCCTACTCATCCATCCATTTACGGCCATATTGTAAAGGGAACAATGTATGTTTCTTCCTACACCGAGTCATAATTTACTCGAGGGATGTCGGTAGAGAGATCCATCAAAGTTCTTAAAATTATAATAGGACTGGAAGAGTAACTATTCACTTAGAAGAGTAGCTAGCCTGCCACGTCTGTGGATATATTCCTCTTCAGCCTGTCGAATACTGTGATGCGAATCTGGCCAATATCCAATCATTCCTCTACGTCATCTACAAATCGTGGTCCTAATAAGCCTTTCATACAAAGTCCTGGACTCAGTTGCATAGCAAATTTCACATCTCATTCTTGATTATGAAAACTGGTAAATCCTTGATGTTATGAAATTCGCTTCGTAAAGCTACAGATTTTTTCATGACGATGGCTCTTTTAGTCTAGGAAGAAATCACTAGGCTAGAGAGATGAAAGTTTATTTTGACAGGCTTTTCTGTCCATTACTATTGCGCGATGGCTTCAATTCGTGTAGGTGATTGAATCGACGAGACGATTCAAGCGTGCTTTCTCCGATTGATTTTGTTCTTCCTATTGGAATCGTGGAGATAATTGCCTTGGATAATCTAGGTTAGGTCTATTGCCGTTGACGAAAACGTGGGATCTCCAAGTCATGATACTAGCTTCCATTCAAGGATAGCCATAGAAATACATTCGAGGAAGATCTCTTCAGATCTGGACTATTGATCATATCTAGGGTTGCGCCAAGATTGACAAAGAATTCTTGAAATTGTCGATGTAAAAGGCTTGAGATAGATCTGCAAGCTGACTCAGCCCGATACCCAACTTCAAATTTAAACCATTAATATGATCAAATTTTCTCGAAAACCCCAGTCAGCATATATTCAAGCTAGAACAGGCATAGGAAGCCATCTGGCATATATGAATAAGATTGGGAAAAGCGATACTATTATCTGCAATTACTGCACAAAAAGTGTTCAAAAAATTGAACATTTAATACTTTACTGTTCATTCTTCAAGAAACAGAGGAGAAAAGAGTTCAAAAACCTTTTACCATTTACACTTCCAATTATATTCAACACAAATGTGGGGAAAACTTCGCTTCTGAAATATCTTTTAACAACTGGCTGCCTTTCCAGGGGTACGGATGAGGAAGATAGAAACCAACCAACTAATTGATCAAAAAATTACTTATCAAGAATTTCTCACTGTTGTAATGTACATAAAATGGTGGTTTAAGATGATGTCTGGGTGAGAAGGATATATATGTATATAGTGTCATGGCTAGTTAGGCTGCATACACTTAATGATTTAAAAAAAAAAAAAAAAAAAAAAAAAGACTCAGCCCGAAGTCAATGGCCGAAAAATGAGCAGCTGTGACCCCTGCGTACGTAGGAGTCGGAATTCCTTGCCAATCCCTGATCCCATCAAACTTCTATTAAATGCAGGCCTGGCCTAATTATTACAGGAAGAGGAATAAGTACCTGTCAGTATTGCCTTCTGCATGTTTGAGAGTGGATTACTCTTCCATGGCCGATTTGAGTCAGATTTTAGACTACCGAAGAAGCTGGACCACGAGGCAATTACTCATGACTCCCTACTACGTCAAATTCCATGTCTAAATAAGATCCTTTCCATCCGAGGCCTAACTGAGTCGACAAATTCAAGCTTGTTTATCTTGACTTCAATGGCTCTACCTATCGTCAACTTAGTCTCTACCCACTGTTGGCCTCTACACTCTAGTCCACAACAGTTTAAATGTCCGAATGATTTAAACGGTGGAAAAACTTGTTGGAGTACAAAGTTGGGATTGAAGTGATAGATATCGCTACAACTAAGCAGTATCATCCTTAGGATTGATGCATCCGTGAAAGAGATGAGATTTGAACTTTTGCGGTGTTTTCACATCGAAGAGTGTTATGTGCGAGGATGCAGGTAGTGCTACAAACGCTTTTATTTCTGGATGACGCAGCGAGACATCATCTAGCCTGGTCTCTTCAGTAGAGCCTGGAAAGATCAAATCCCAAATCCACTCTTGAAATGAAATTACACAGAACCTTGTATACTTCGGGCTGAACTCTGTGCAGTATAGAGTAGACGATTTCTACTCATCTCTGATCGCTAATCTCGATGGCGAATAATTTATTCTAATCACATATTTCAGCACATCATGAATTTATCACTTCAAGTTAAGCTTTGGGCGACACGCGACCTCAATTACAGAGGTCAAAGACTGAACACCTGTACGCCGTATCCCCTTCGAACCTGGGAGTAAAATATTCTCCCGGAGCCAAGCTTAGTCGAAATTTTGCAAAACCGAAAAAGTTTGCCCACGAGGCAAAGATTCCACTCTCTCAGTCAAGTCAATATCACACTCCCAATAAGGTTGGTTCCGGCCAAAGCCTCATCAAGTCTGCAAGTACGACCTAGTACATTCTTATATCAATCATCACACTTCGTTAAATCACTCTCTGGCCTCAAGTGGCCTCCAATTACACGCCCACAAGAATATGGATACCCGCCAGAGGACACAAATTGTGGTGCACAAATCTGGTAAGCAGTATTTTTGGCATGGACGTGTTACGGGCTAGGCCCGGCTGGGTTCTGGCTGGGCTGCTTAAGGCTATAGGGCCCATCCTTATCTTGAAGGCTCAAGTGAGTTTGGAAATCTTCTCACTATACGGTAGTATTATCAGATCACGTGCAAAGGGCAAGGGGATCTGGAACAGGCACTGTAGTTTTTGTTTGTTTTTACATTTGGTCCTAAGCTAACGCTATCTTTTCCACATTGGGTCAAGGACCGGTGGAGCCGGCAAGGATCACTGCGTACAGGCCCAACTCATTCCAACCGCATGAACTTCTACTGAAATTGTAGAAGTTAACAGCAAAACTAAAATCAAAAACATAAATCAAAAACTGAAATCAAATTTGGAAGAAATACTGTTTGGTCCGGATCCCGCGCTTCTCGCCCGTTCCCTTTCCTGCCACATCTTCCACATGACTTTTTCTTATCTCCGCTGAGAGCGAAAGACTAGTTCGCAGATACCCTGAATTCAGCTGGTATCCTGCTATATACTTTGAAGCTTTTTGTAGACTTCACCGAGGGTTGCTGTACCCTCAAACTTCTTCTTCGGATTCCAGGATTCCGAAACCCGATCCCTCGGCCATCGAGACATCCTTCGTTGAGGCCATCGTTGCCTCTTCGGCCCTTTTGGCTGCAGCCCTAAATCGAGCCACTTTCGCGAACTCCCCTTGCTGGATCTGGCGGATCCGCGCGAGCTGCTCTTTTGTCACCGGTCCGGACTTGCTGGGTCTGGCTAAGCAGGCCCGGGAATCCGATCGGTGAGGTCCCCCACAGTTTCGACACCGGGTGAGGGCCTTGCACTCTGATTCTGAGTGCATATTAGATCCGCAATTCCAGCAAGCTGGAGCGCGGGAACAACCACGGGTGGCGTGAAATTCAAGACACCGTTTGCATTGTTCGATTTTGCGACGAGGTCGGAAGAGCTTTGCAGCTCCAGAGTCGTCGAAAAGGCGGAATCCAGGTCGAGGAGCGGATTCTCGGGGAAATAGCGCTTGCCAATTTGAGTAGGGCGCCCCTGGTTTGCTAGTCCCATGAGGACGAACCAGAAAGGGAACCAACTGGGTCACTCGCGTGACTTCGTCGGCAACCATCTTTGCCGTCACGGCGATTGGGCCAGCAAGAGTTCGAATT